CTTGTGAAATTTTTCATAAATAAAACCTATTAATATTTTTTTTCAATTTTAAAAACTTAAAATATATTTTTTTTCATATGAAGAAAGCCAAATCAGTTTTAGGTATTAAGTAAAGGTTAGATATTTGGGTTTTTTTGGTATGAATATTTTTAAAAAAAATACATAAATATAAAAATATTTTGATGAGCTTTTTGGATAAATATTTTTTTTTACAGGTATGGGCAATTATCCCTTTAACATCCCTTTAATATATATTGAATAAGCATTAAGAAATAAATATAAATATCTTACGTCAAACATAGTCATGCATAAATATTAAATTTTGATGTAATACATATACATACTAGTTTAAATTAACAAACATAAACATGTTAGACTGAATTAAACAAGTAAACATACTTGTCAAATAACAAACAAACATAAATTTTCTTATTACAGTGAAATCATCTTAGCAATCAGGTCTGTAACGGTGTTAGTTTACAAAATTATGAACCCAAATTTTTTTTAAATTAACATTTTTTTATCATAAATGTTTTTGCCAACGTTTCATGTTGGACCAAATGGTCAAATGCATCTCCAAGAGTGATCTCATCAAAGCCTTCAATTTTCATTACTTCTTTATATAGCTCATTAACATCAAGTTGATTTTTACTGAGGTTTTGAATTGCAAATGCTACATCTCCAATCTTTTTAGACAACTTTTCAACACTGTCATCTTTATACATACTATTTCTCTTTCTATGTTGCTTTTTTTGTGCACTAGAGAAATATGTTTCTTTTTCTTTTGAAGTTTCTTCATATTCCCATTCATTTTCAATTGAAATTGATTGCTCTTCAGTGTTCTCTTCTAAGTTGACATTAGCATATAATTTGGTATAATTTCTTGTTGTCATGTCTTTTCCAACAAGAATTATTATTATATCATACATATCAAGTTTTTTGCTGAGATACTTATCATGATTGGGACGTGTCTGTTCATAAAGTTTAGAATATATAATTTTTTAGTTCTTTATGTAAAATTTTAGAAACAAAAGTAAATATAAAAATTACAAAGAGTATAATATTTATCACACATTCACTTCTTCATCTTATACATATTTCAAAATTATAATAATCTTCAAACAATCATCCCAACCAAAGCCACTTTTATTTTTAAGTTTGGTTATTATTCCTTTTTTTTTCCCACAATTCTAAGATGATTGTTCACATGCTTAGGTTTCGTATTGCACATTGAAATTTTGACTAATTTCTGTAGCTACCTTGACAAAAGATTTTACTTTAAAGGTGGAAGAAGGTTTGTTTACATTAAGTGTCTCCTCGGCCAAAAGATTTTACTTTAAAGGTGGAAGAAAGTTTGTTTACATTAAGTGTCTCCTCAGCTAATATCTTAAGTAGCATGTGACACATAGGCTTAGACCATGTGAAGTAGTTGCCTTTGTATTTTTCATTTCGTGTGGTACTCATTTCTACAAAAAAAATTATAAATTTATACAAAATATAATCATACAATATTTATATTTAATAAATTTAATATAAAAACTATAATTAATATTTAAAAGAAAATACATAGAATACATAAAAAAATTATAATAAAGTCAACAAACGATCCAAATACATAACAAAAACAATACAAACTTAAACGAGATACAATAAAAACAAACACATATAACTAACACTCGATTATTAGTTTTTTTAAGTGTTATGATTGTTTGTCTAATTGATTCACTTTCCGAACATATTTCTTTCATAAGGATCAACTCCTATTATGTGATTATGAATAATACAACATGCAAGCACAACATTTACTTGTATTTTATAAGACCAATTTTTTTTTCCATCAATTGATCTAAAACTACTCTTTAAAATACCAAACCCTCGCTCAATAGCAGTTCTCAACGAGGAGTGTCAAAGATTAAATAGCTTATTTTTATTTTCTGGTAAATGTTCTATAAACTCATTCAAGTGATATCGAACTCCATGAAAAGAAAAAATAATTCCTTTTTAAATACCATAACCACTCCATGAAAAGAAAAAATAATTCCTTTTCAAATACCATAACCAGCATCACCAAGATAACATTTTCCTACAAATTAGAAGAAAAAAAACCCATTATTGTCTTTATTTAATTAAACATTTTATATGTTTATTGCATATAATAAATACTTTATTATATATCTGTGGAATTTTTAAACTACTAAGTTTTGATAATGCATCACTTAAAACCCGTGAATCATGTGTACTTCATTCTCAGTCAGCTATAACATATATAAATTTCAAATCAAAAGTTATAGTTGCTAAAATATTTTGTGTTGTTTCTTTTTTCGACCTCAAAACTTTCCTTGAATCTTAACAGGAACATTTGCAGGAACATGAGTACCATCAATTGCTTCCACACAATTTTATATAAACATGAAAAAAATAATTTACAACCTTTTCTTCTAGATGTAATTAATTAATGTATAAAAATATTAGTATTATTCGCATACTTTAAAACAAGGATATAATTTTCGATTATTCATTATCTTTGCAGGAATTGTATCCTTTAGGTCTTTAATAAGGTGTTTGTATAACTTAAAAACTGCTTTTAAAACAATTCTAAAGTCACAATAGATAGTTTCAACAAACCTATAGTATATACCACTAATAAAATAAAATCTTTGGTTTTGGCTTATAATTTGTAAGAACACAATTACTTGTTTCCCAATAGATACATTTTGAGTTGATCATATTAGGTCTGACTTGTGAGAATATCACACAAATTATATAAAACAACTGGTTTCATACAAATTTATTCAACGCAATGTCTACCTCGATTCAAAATTCTATTCATATAGAATTATTTTTGAGTAATTGTATTTATATGTGGTTTTCTTGGTATATAATTTATATTTTTTTTGTTTAATAATAGCTACCCCTGTAGCTATCACAGTTACAGCTGCTCTCATACATGCTGCATGAATAATTTTACTATCCAAACAAGAAAGTGAAGTTTGTCGATAACAAAATCTAAAAATTTAGGGAAATAAACATTAAAAAAGCATATAAAATACTTACATAATCAATACAATAAATTATGCTCAAAACAGCTGATTCCTTAAATAAAAAATGCCTTAAAGTATATAATTTAATGAATTCTATATATAACTCATGTTTCACGGTCTTATTATTTTTCCACCAAACCATCTCAGTTTTTCATTACATAACATCACAGTATCATCAACTCATATCATCAACACACATCACGCATATCATCACCCATTTTAGTTGCTGATAATGGAAAATGCACAGAAATGCATATTATCAACAGAGACCCAAACTTTTTTCATCAACAGATTTTCTTGTCAAAGGTAGCATAAGAGAAGGAAATCTTTTACAGGAAAGCATAAGAGGAGAATGAGAGCCAAAGATAGTGAATTTGGGAAGGGGACAGATTTAGGATTAAGGCAACTGGGGACATGCTAGAGAGGAAGTTTATCAGAACAACAAGCAAGGGGAGTAGAGAGATCACTTATGAAATTGAAAATGATTTAGAAAAAATCATTAAAAACGAGCGAGGAAATCAACTGAAATGAGAAACAAAGCATGAGTTTGCTGTGTTTTTTGAAATGAGAAACAGAGCATGAGTTTGTTGTGTTTTTTTCATAGAAACCAAACAAAATAGGTTTGATGTGTTCATGTTTGGATAATTTTGATGTTTTGTGGGTTTGCTGTGTTTGTGTTTGAATAGTTTTGATGTTTTGTTTGGTTTTTGGAAAAAATATAGAGCATGAGTTGCATCAAATTAAATAAAATAAACCATGAAAAAAATATAGCAAATTATATCACAAGATTTATGATATTATTATAACTACAAATTAAAACAAAAGGATAAAAACATAAGACAAATAGTAAATAAATATTTGAGGGAAAAAATCACTTTGAAGAAAAGCTGATAGAGATGCTTTAATTGTTCTATAAAGAGGTTTGAAAAAAAAAGAGTTAGGGATTTGTATTATAAATACATGATGTTATGATTTTTTGTAAACAAAGATCACTTTGAAGAAAAGTTGATAGAGATGCTTTAATTGTTCTGTAAAGAGGTTTGAAAAAAAAAAGAGTTAGGGATTTATATTATAAACACATGATGTTATGATTTTTTGTAAACAAAGAAAAGTGTTTTTCTCGTGATAAGAAAATAAAAATACCTTCCTACCATAAAACATTACCTCTTTTTTTTTTTTACCAGAATTCATTTTCATTGGGATAAGAAAAGAAAAACACCTTCCTACCATAAAACATTACCTTTTTTTTTTACCAGAATTCATTTTCATTGACTAATTATTTTTATGTTTACTAAATATAAAAAAGTGAAAAAAATAATTTCTTGAAAAATAAATTCATAAAAATAATTTCTTAAAAAATAAATTCATAAAAATAAAGTCTTCAATTAAACATGTACATAAATTATTAAAAGATACTGGAGATAACCTTTTATTTGAAATGGAGGTTGCCAAGAAAAAGGGAGAAAAATAATTTCTTGAAAAATGAATTCATAAAAATAATTTTTTGAAAAATAAATTCATAAAAATAAAGTCATCAATTAAACATCTCACAAATTATTAAAAGATACTGGAGATAACTTTTTATTTGAAATGGAGGTTGCCAAGAAAAAATTGACATCAACAATTTTTTTCAAAAAATATCAATTAAAAAATAATACAATAACCTAAGAAAGGACTTTGAAATATCAGAACCAGATCAATTTGCATTCAGCATAATTTATTATTTTAAATAAATAATAAATTCAAATATATTTCGATTTTTTAAAAAGCAAATTAGCAATACCAATGAATCGAGCCCAAGAAAGATGGAGTTGGACTGTTGAGGCCCAAAATCTCGTGGAATCACCCACTACAGACCCCATTTAGGCCCAAGATACCATGCAATCAATGAAGGTGGCCCGAGCCGGCAAAGATATCATCATCCTAGTCACCATCTCCTCCTCCGGTCCTCCCCATGAAATAAAATCAAGGGAAGGTCAATACTCAATTGTCATTTTCCCTTTAGCTACCCAAACTTTCCCTCCCAATTGAAAATCTGAATCTGGCTTCGAGAGAGATGGAAATGACAGAAAATCAGAGCGACAAAACGAGTAAACACAAGAGAGAACGAAGCCTACTGGCCTTCACTGGAGCTGCTGCTCTCGCTGCTCTTGCTGTTAGCCTGGCTATCTCCGCCCTCAATTCCCGCCGAAAAAAGTCCCAGAAGAAAGGTTTTGCTCTTACATTTATCGCTCTCTCGTCTTAGCCTGCTTCAGCATTGCTTGAATCTAATTACTTGTTGTTTATTTGTGGTTATTTAGATCTTTCAGGGTCCAATGCTCGCATTAATCTCTCGGCATCTGAGATTCTCAAATTAGCTGACCGAATCATTGCTAAGTCGAAAGAGGTTCACGACGCCGTTGCTTCAGTTCCTTTTGACAAGGTATTCTTATTTTTCTTTCCTTTTTCATGCAATTAAAGCCCTAATTTGTAGATTTGTTCATGCTTCTCTTCGGTCGGTTAAAACTTGCAGGTTACATATGCGAATGTAATATCGCCCCTAGCAGATTTGGAGGCACATCAATTTCCGCTGGTCCAGTCTTGCGTGTTTCCAAAGTTGGTTTCCACTTTAGAAGATGTGCGGAAAGCGAGCGCGGAAGCAGAACGCAGAATCGATGCTCACGTTTCGACGTGCAGGTTTGATTTATTTATTCTCATTTTTATGCACTTTAGAAAAGTTTGGTGCTGCTTTTATCGGTGATCGCGAAGGAGAGGCAGAGTTATAGAGAATTAACAAATATTGGAAGGTTTTGTTGCATGCATGATGCCGCTACGGGTTGAATTTGAAGACAATGGTCAATCTATAGATGCGTGTTCGGGTTACATATGGTAAAAACAATATCGAGTGTCCATCATTAAATTGTTTATAGTTTAGAATCTAGGTTTTGATTCTTGTTTTTCAGTTTTTGAGCTCATTCATACAACTGAAATGCAAGATTATCCCGATTGGATGTTTGGGATGGATGGAAACAATGGAAAGGTTCTTATGGGATGTTCTTTACTGTTTTACCTAGTTCAGGCTGTTAAAATGCACGGAGCCCATTAGAAAAATAAAAGGAAAGTAGCTGCCGAAAGGTTTTAATGGTGTTCTACAGTTGGCTTGATTCATGATGGCTGCTTCAAAATAGTCAGAAAGATCACCATGGCAGGAAATGGTGATTGGTAAGGTTGCAAGTAGTGTTTCTCAGGAAAACTGTGGAGTTGTTTTGATGCAGGGCATGGTTGAGACCAGACCAGGATAAATCTGAAATCAGTTGCTTTTAGTTGGTGCAAGTCTTTTATAGTCGGCCTGTCAACAAATTTAGTAGTGCTGCTCATAGCATTTGTGTTAAAGCAGCTCCCATAATCATATATTTTGGCTTACTCTGGTTGTAAAAGCAACAATGTGATATTGCTAAATTAAAGTGGTGAAATCCAATAGTTTTGATTGCATACAGAAATGAACATTGTCTTGTTTCATGCTGATCAGCAAACGTGAAGATGTATACCGCGTGGTAAAGGCCTTTGCCTCAAAGGGGGAGTGGATGAATCCTGAAGCTAAACACTACATGAAGTGCCTGGTAAGGAAATTTATACTTTTTTAGTTTCTTCCAGGCTTGGAACCTGACTTACAGTGCTCTGTTTATTAGTACTTGCATCCACTGGATGATTGGCATTGCTCTTAGGAATATATGTATCTTTTATTTGATGCTTTCTCAAGATTCTTGTTAAACGGCATAAATTTTCAATGGAAGTTTTGATTTTTTTCCTGATCAGTGACAGGTCAGAGACTTTGAGCAGAATGGTTTGAATCTCACTGTTACCAAGAAAGAGGAAGTACAGCGTTTGAGAGCTCAAATTGAAGAGCTAAGCTTGCGATACATTCGCAATTTGAATGATGATAGCAGTTGTCTTCTTTTCAGTGAGGCAGAGCTGGTTGGATTACCAACAGAGTACCTTAAGGTACTCTTACTTTTCGTTTTGTTTCCTTGGTTTTTTGCTTTTCATTCCTTGAATTTTAACCGTTTCATGTGATTTCACCTTATCAATGGAGGATTCTCTGCAGTCTACAGACAGTAATTTGAAATAATTTCTCCTTTTCCTTCAATTCTCAAAGAAGAATTTCTATATCTCTTTTAACCATGGAGTGTCAGAACCACAATTATTTAGTAAGTCTTTTGGATAATTGATGTGAGGAATTCGGTTGACAAATGAAGTAACTTGAACTAGGTGTCTTGAAAATGGAATTAAGTGAATATTTCAATTTTATATCTTGATGGTTGCAAGTCCTGAAAAACGATATTGACTCACCATGTTCAGAGTGCTGAAACTTCCTCCATCACCTTTCCCCATCACAAACATATCCACAGTTCATATGCGAAGCTTTTGATTTGGGGAAGTAAATTTTTGATTTTGGTTAAACCTTGACATGAGCAAATTATATCCCAAGGAAAAAGCAAATAGAAACAAATGAGAATTGTTGTATGAGTTCTGCATTGTCTTCTTATAAGTCAGACGAATTGCCCCTTATGTTTGTCATGTTATATCGGAACTTCTCCACTTGTTTTTCAGAGCTTAGACAAGGCTGGAAATGACAAATATAAGATCACATTGAGAAGTCATAATGTTTTAGCACTGCTGGAGTTTTGCCAGGTATGATCTTACAGCGTTCATTATTTTTTGTCTTGTGTCACCAGCTGGTGCCAACTTTTTGCTTGCCTGTTTAAAGCCTGCATCATCTACTGCTCTACCACTTTTGACTTGAAAGTGTTTTCATATTGCTCCTACTTTTTAATTTTGGTTTTTTGATGCAGTTTTACTTGAGCATATATTTTGGAATATTAATAAGAATGCTTGCATATCTATTTTGAGCCTGTGAAGGTAGGAACAACGAGGAGGATGGTTGCTGCAGCATATGGGAAGAGGTGTGGAGAAGTCAATCTTTCTGTGTTGGAAAGTTTGGTAAATATTGCATATATTTCTCTCTGGGATCATAATTTTGTTTGAAAATGCCAGAATGCGTCTGTTTTATAAGATATGGTCCAAAGCTGTGCTCTTTTGTCTTTACACTAAAATCTTCTATTTTTCAAGAAGAGAACCTTTTACTTGACTATTAATCTAGTTCACAATGTTGAGATTTTGGCAGTAAAAACCCTAAAATTTAGTGTCAATAGTTTTAGTTGCAACCACACAATTATGTGCTGCTTTGTCATTTGGACACAACTAAGACATTTGAAGTGTTGAGGTGATTCTTATTTTAATTTTAAGATTCCTTGGGACAAAAGACTTCTTGGTATAGTTTTGATTGGCACAACAGTTTGCTACTTGCCAAGTCTAGAATGTATCTGTATATCAAATCTTATAACTGCAGTTGTCATTTACTTGTACTGCTTTATAATATCATTTCAAATGCATTTTTATGCTCTTGTATTGTAGGTTGAGATGCGCCATAAATATGCTCGGTTATTTGGCTATTCAAACTATGCTGACTATGCTGTTGATCTAAGAATGGCAAAGACATCCACAAAGGTTAGTGTGGTGTTATTTCCTTGAAGCAATATTACATATAATGTTCATTCAGAACTATGGATAAGGCTAAAAACAGAGATTGTGCGATTTCATTTCCCTATACAACGTTACATATCATGTTCATTCTAAAAATACAGATGAGGCTAAAAAAAATGTTTATTATGCTGATTTAGCTTTCAGTTTTTGCCTAGGCTCATTCCATATAGACCACAACCATTTAATAATCAAAACATCAAATTATATCATTAGCTGATGTTATTTATTTTCCTTATATTTGTTGGCTAGTGGATTGCCATTGCTATTTTAACTCTGCAACGTTGAAATGGTCTCTCCCTCTATTGGTTTTTCTTTTAAGAAAACCATAGAGAAAACATGCTGGCAGGGGCATAACTGGTTCTTTTGAGTTAGATTCATCATTTTATCTACTCCGTCTATCTCATAAAGAAGCCAAATTTATAGTTGCACATCTTTTATGCTAGTGCATTAAATATCCAACTTTCACCTCTGATGTTTACAAAACCAACATCACGTTTTATTTTAGAATGCAATTACATTTTTTTGGCATGGAACATATGAAAAAGAAATAGAAAATGGTACAATGAGCAATCAAATATCACTTATGTTCTAAACTGCTCAAATTTGAAAAAGAAACCAGCAAAAACTCAAACATGGGATAGCAAGAATAGTAGTTACCTAAATAAGAAGAGTCTTAAACTGTTTTCCATTCAAGTCGTTCCTCCTATAGTCCTGTTTATGCTTGCAAATAAGCCAAGTCAGTGTCCAAATACTCGCAAGCTGTCTTGTGAATCTTGGTTCGAATAGATTTGATGAGTTGAGGACTGTGATTGAATTGTTTGTTAGTTCTGTTTGAGAATTGGTTGTATAAAACTTATTATGTTTGGACATTGACCGTTTAGCCAGCACATCTTATTATATGTTCTGTTGAATGATGCTTTTATGCTTGAATTCATTTAGCCAGTATCCCTATTTTCTTCAGGTATTTGAGTTCTTAGAGGATATCTCTGCCAGTTTAACGGACTTGGCAACGGGGGAGCTTGCCTTGTTGAAAGACTTGAAGGTTGGATCTTGTTTTGACGTCTTTCACCCATGCCAATTTTTTTCTAATGTCCCATACTCTTACAGTTCTTCTTGTGGCAATGCATCAGAAGAAAGAAGAAGGAGAGCTTCCATTTGGAATTGAAGATCTACTGTACTATGTGAAGAGGGTTGAAGAAGCACAGTTTGATCTGGACTTTGGAGCTCTTAAGCAATACTTTCCTGTGGATGTGGTTCTGTCTGGAATCCTCAAAATAACCCAAGACCTTTTTGGTAATTATCTTATTTACAATACTAGAATTTAGAGTCTTCCTATTTTCTTGCTTGCCTTTTGTTTAATGATGTCCATTGAAGAGTGATGTCAAGTATATTATGATCAGTGCCCCATCTTGCTTCATGCAGGATTAAGATTTCAGGAAGTTGCAGATGCTGAGGTTTGGCATGGTGATGTTAGTGTGTTTTCTGTTTTTGACTTAAGTTCAGGTGAACTCCTGGGTTATTTCTACCTTGATATATACACAAGGTTTGCTTCTTACTTGGGTTTCTAAATCTAGTTTTGACCTGTAGGTTTCTTTTCTGAAACAAATGGTATTGTTTTATGACAGGGAAGGAAAATATGGTCATACATGTGTAGTTGCTCTTCAAAATGGTGCATTATCATACAGTGGTGAACGACAAGTGAGTTTTGTAAACAAGTGTTCATGTCTCTAATCCCTGACAATTTCAACTCAATTCTGACAGCTCCTTTCAAGAATCTTATTGTTAAACAAATTGTTTCATTTTCTTGTGGTCATGTGGATATCCTGTGGCTATTTCAGATGGTTATGCCTGTTCTCATCAGTTTGAATGACTCTTTTATCCTTCTTAGATTTTTTTGGTTGTACTAGAGTAATCATTAGTCAGCCATTGGTTCAATGACTAAAAAAGATTTTTTATTTGAAAAATACATTAGCTAAAGGAGTTGATGACTTTTCTTCTTTGAGTTGTTATGACTCCTTGTCGTTGTTTGTTTGCTTGGATTCATTCAAGTTTACAATCTAATAAACTAAAAGTCCCATAAGCACATGTTTGTCCTTAAAAATAGCTGTTATACTGATTGGACTGTGATTTTCTGTAACTAGATACCAGTGGCATTACTTATCTCCCAATTACAAAAAGGCAATGGTGGGCACTCTGGTTTATTAAGATTCCCTGAAGTGGTTAGTCTTTTCCATGAGTTTGGCCACGTGGTACGTTGCATTCTGTTAATGCCATTTGTTTCATTTCAAAATCTGTCAGTAAATTGACATGTTGAGGTGGTTTGATGCCAAGGATGAGTAACTTGGCTTTTATTGATAATGAGGTTCTAGGTCCAACATATTTGCAATCGTGCATCCTTCGCCAGATTCTCTGGGTTGCGAGTTGATCCTGATTTTGTGGAGATCCCTGCGTTGGTGCTAGAAAACTGGTAAGCAACTTTATGACATTGAACCTTCTTATTCTGTCAGGGCACTGACTTACCTTTCGATGCTTGTGGAATGTTTAGGTGCTACGAGAGCTTCTCGCTGAAGTTGATTTCTGGTTTCCATCAGGTGACATGCTTGTCTTTTTCAGTAAATTCTGGACCAATAACATGGTCTTGCGCTATTCAACACTCACAAGGGAGAAGGAAAGGGAGGATAGGGGATGACAACCATATTCTCCCTTCCTCCTTCCCTCTTTTTAAATAAGTGTGCTTGTGTTTATGGTCTCATAATTGTGCAACATGCGAAAGACATTTCTTATCATCTATTTTGGCTGGTTCTTCACATGAATATACCTGGGGGTCCTTTATTAACTCTTACTGAATGGAATTTTAAGTCATGTCTTTAGATCTGCTGACACTGCTAGTGACTATGTTTATGATGTTTATGATTTGTAGGATATCACAAAGCCCATCAATGATGAAATATGCAAATCACTTAAAAGATGGCGAAATTCATTTTCTGCGCTTAAATTGAAGCAGGAAATTCTTTATTGTAAGTCTCGCAATATCTTTTGTTTTGTGAACATGGTTGTATAAATTACTGGAGACATCCTTGAAATGTAAGAATCCTTAAAGTTGTTTATATCATTTTAGCGATCCAAAGTTTTTTCTTTTTTCCTTTCATTTCAATTGTTTTTATGTTTTGGGTATTTCTGACACAGCTATGAGAAAAAGGATATTGGTAGATATTCTTTATATAATTTCATATGGTGGGATTTTGTTGTGCGTGATCTTGTGATAAAAGGATATTGTTCAGTGCAGTACTGCAGTTTTATAAGTTTAATTAATGTTACTTTATGTTAGAGGTAGTGTCTGATTGGGGGGTTCACTTTGAGTGACAGTTGAATTTTTAAGTAGGGGAAGAATCAGTTTGTAAAATACTAGGAAAAAAGCATACTGGTATTTTGGTAACTCGAGTCAAATCTAGTGTGTTTAGAGTCTTAGGCAAATTTTCTTAGGATAGAAGTTTTTTTTTCTTTTATTAGGATTTTCCTATTCAGGAACAAGATTTGAATAGGACAAGAAAGAGTCTACGAGTCTAAACACATGTAATCTAGTTATATTCTATTTTTAGAGGGATATTGAGTGTTTGATATTCTTTTACTTCCTTTCTCCTCTTTCTTCACATCCACTCTTGCACTTATGCATATAAACACAAAAGATGCCTATTCCTGGATAATTTTATGAAGACCATTCTCTGTATAGCTTAAAGGTTTCTGGGATTATGTTGTCAGGTCTCTTCGATCAAATTATACATTCAACTGACAATGTCGACATTGTCGAGTTATTCAAGCATCTTCATCCTAAGGTAAGAACTACACCACTATTCATTGTAGAGTTATTCAAGCATCTTCATCCTAAGGTAAGAACTACACCACTATTCATTGTAGAGTTATTCAAGCATCTTCATCCTAAGGTAAGAACTACACCACTATTCATTGTAGAGTTATTCAAGCATCTTCATCCTAAGGTAAGAACTACCCCACTATTCCATTAGCACATAGAGCAACAAAGGAATCTATTGCAGAGGATGGGGAATCTTATCCATACCACCCCTTAAAGTTATGTTTATAATAATAATAATAATTTATTTACCTTTGTTTCTCCAGGTCATGTTAGGCCTGCCAATGTTGGAAGGAACCAATCCAGCTTCATGTTTCCCGCGCAGTGCTATTGGTTTTGAAGCTGCTTGCTATAGCCGTATTTGGAGCGAGGTTTAAATAACTCTGTTTTCTAAGTTGTCTACTGCATGACCATAGAGTGCCATATACAATACATTAGTATTTTCTTAAATTATTGCATTTTTAATTGCTCTATGTCATGGAGGATTCATTTCCCCAGCAATGGTGCCCCCGGACAAAATTCAATACTGATTCCTTGAATGCCATTTAGGTCTTCGCAACTGACATATTTGCTTCAAAGTTTTGTGATGATCTCGTAAACCACCATGTTGGCATGCAGTTTAGGAACAAGGTAATCATTGCAATCTTGCGATTCTGTTCATTTATTTGACATGTTGACACTCATTATTGTTGAAGGTTTGCCAATTTATGTCTTGCTTTGTTCCCCGGAAGACGCTGCTTACGGAAGGATGCGGGTCTCCAAGGGCTTGTCTGTGAATAAATACTATATAATCTCTGATGGAAATTATTTTTTATCCTTTTTGTTGTTTATTTTTTTACCAGGTATTGGCCATGGGAGGAGCAAAGGAGCCCATTGAAATTTTGTCAGATTTTCTTGGAAGAGAACCATCTATTGCTGCTTTTATCGACAGCAAGACCAAACATAGCCCATATGACGCCAAATTCTCATAAATCAGGTTTAGATTTGCATTCGAGATTCTCATAAATCTATGCCACCACCTTTTAGTTGTGTATATAAATTTTTATCGCTTCTAGTAATCAATTGTGCTGTAGTACGTGGACTCCAGCTAAGCTGTTCATCATTAATTTTTGAGAGAAAACAAGTCGTTCGCGCTCGCCTGCCTGATAAGCAGTAATGATGCCTCTGGAATGGCAAGTCAGAATAATAATATAATGGCTTGTAGTAGGTTCTTGGTTCGGTGGTCACAAGTTTCAGGGTTTTTGAACGGAATAATTAAAATAAACAAACACACCGCTACTTCCTTAATAGAAGTATTTTATTGGGATATTTTTAATGAACGTTCCCACTAGAAAAGGCTGTCAAATGGACCTTCAGCGTTGTGTTTTCTAAATATATTAGCAAGGGAAGTAACAGGCAATTGAAGTAGGTAGAATGAGCTGTTGAACAAGCAGTAGAATCATAATTATTAATCAACTCGTTAATTTCTCACAAACGCCATCAAAATCAATGGATATGCCAAACCATAAAAGCGAACAACTATTTAGTCCTTGCCAGTCACCCTGCATCATGCTGACTGATAAATTAGCACCACCACCAGCAGCAAAAACGTGTTTTTTTTTTTTTTAGTCTTTCATGACTTTTATCCCATCAACCTTGTCGATTCCTATGGAGTGAATTTGAAAGTATGATAATTTTTTAAAGTATTTTTTATGTCTTTCATGACTTTTATCTCATCAACCTTGTCGATTCTAGTATGATAATTTTTTAAAGTATTTTTTATTTTAAAAAATATTAAAAAAATATCAATTTAAAATAAAAAAATAAAAATCTATTAAACCCAATTTACTTTGACATTCATTGAAAACATCACACGACAGTGGCTTCTTCTTCTTCTTCTTCTTTTTTTTGTTTCCCGACACCTGTTTAAGCTGGAAGCCATGTGACCCTTGTTTAGAAGGTTATTGACTTCTAATTAAATTCTAGTAGACTACTTTCTTTCATCTCTGTGTTACCTTCACACATTGCACGTGATAAGACCACTCCCAATCTTACAATGTTCAGGCATGGCAAGGCTCATCTCTCTTTGTTAGAGACACCAACAAGCTTCTTGTGCCGTACCCAAAAAAATAAAAAATAAAAAAATTCCTGTGATGGAAATTTTCCAGAACAAATAAATGCCCAAATTCAAATTGATAGCATGATCTCTTTGTTAGAGACACCAACAAGCTTCTTGTGCCGTACCCAAAAAAATAAAAAATAAAAAAATTCCTGTGATGGAAATTTTCCAGAACAAATAAATGCCCAAATTCAAACCTAGACACATGAATTTACTTGCATATTTATCTACAAGTTAACCAAAAATACCAGGCAATTCTACATAAGAAAACACTTTGTCGCAGGAGACTTGAAAGAAGATTTTTCCTAGTGCATGATAGCTAGTATTAGTGTACTTTTACGACAGCATTTCAACTGAAGATTTAAAACATTTTGATTCTTTTATTTTAAATTAATTTTAATAATATTTTAATATATTTTTAATATACTAATATTAAAAATAAATTAAAAAATATTATTTTTATATATTTTAAAATAAAAAACACTTTATCAAATAACTATTATTATTACGGTCTGAAACACCATCTAATATTTCTATAGCATAGTAATAACAAGTATATATATATATATATATGTATATTATTTTTATGGAAAATAATTCCTTATATGCCCAATTGAAAATATAGGGACGGCTGCGATGTTAAAACATATCGCAAATGCGCCCAATTATCTTTCGGTTTAAGCAGCCCAGGATGATTTTCCTAAAACGACATGACAGAGTGACGTTTATGGAGAAAAACGGGCCTTCGGTTTTTGAAATTGCAGCGACCGCGTGTGTTCGTATTTTGACTGTATCACAAAGTAGAAATATACATTATATAAAAATAAAAAATAACTGAGTATTAAGAGAATAAATTAAAATACGCAGCCCATCCCATCTCATAAGCGAGAAAAAAAAGTGAGATAAATTTTCCCAGTCAACAAACAACATCGAGAACATCAAGCAGCGAAATTTTGTGTTCTCCCGTCTCTGCAAGGTTCATACTATCTGCATCTTTATTTGGTTTCTAGATTTGGGTTTCTCCTTTTCTCTTCCTTGCAACTCTCTTTTTACTGGAATTTTGTTAAAGAGCAGAACACTGAATTTTATTTTTTTTATTTTTTTTGCATTTAATTCAGGTTTTGAAGTATATAACTTGATGACGGAAAGTGTTGAGTATGCTATATAGTTTTCTCTTTTTCTAGTGGAGAAAGGAATACGTACAGAGAAGAAAAGGGTCCTTTTTTTCTCCTCCTACTTTCTTGAATTCGGTTTAGAAAGTTGAACCTCATCCTGTTTTTAGAGTTATTTTTCACTTTTGGGTTTTTGTAATAGTTGTAAAAAAGTTGTGATTTTCGGTACTGGGCTTTTGGAGAGAGGAGGGGTTTTCAGATCTTTGGAGAGGTAAAAAAGTGTTACTAATAAGGGTTTTTGTATTGGTTGATTGAGATTGGGGAATTAAATGATTTTGTGTGTTTGCTTTTGATTTTGTGAATAGGGAGGGGTTTTTCATCTCTGTTCTTTCCTTGACTTTTTGGAAGTATAGATTGGAGATAGAGTGGCCTTTGGTTGGGTACAACACAACGGTCTTATTCTATAGCTTATCTTGAAGTGGGTTTATTTGATACTAGGGATTGCAGATTTTGGTTTCGGTTGATGAATTCTGATATATTTTGGATTGGATATTTCGGGAAGCATTGTTGTTGTTCTGTTAGGCTGGGGAGGCATTTTGTCTTGTATTTATAAATTATGCTCAAACAAATACTTAGTAAGCTTCCGCGAAAGTCATCTAAGTCAACTGCAAATCGTGACCACAGTGGTAATCAGGCAGCCAATCCAAATGCTTCTAGTGGCTCAAGAAGTAGTGTTGGCAAGTCCGCCAATTCAAGCATCTCATCCATAGCAGTAAATAGTTCTGTCCCAGATGTAGCAATTCATCATGGAGTGAATTCGAAGTTGAATGGAACTCTAGGGTTTTCTCAGTATGAAGGACTGCCTGGATTCAAGGATGTTCCAAACTCTGAGAAGCAGAGTTTGTTTATTAAAAAGTTGAACATGTGTTGTTTCTTATTTGACTTTACTGATCCTACGAAGAACCTCAAGGAAAAGGAGACAAAGCGACAGACGTTACTGGAGTTGGTGGATTATGTAACTTCCATTAGTGGTAAATTCTCTGAAACTGCTATGCAAGAGGTTATGCAAATGGTGTCTGCGAACTTGTTTCGGACATTCACCCCTCAACCACGTGAGAACAAAGTTATAGATGGTGTTGATTTGGAGGAGGATGAGCCTTCAATGGATTCAGCATGGCCGCACTTGCAAATTGTGTATGAACTTTTCTTAAGGTTTGTATCTTCTACCGAGACAGATGCAAAATTGGCAAAAAGATATATCGATCAACCCTTTGTTCGTAGGTTGCTGGACTTATTTGACTCTGAAGATCCCAGAGAAAGGGAATACTTGAAAACAATTCTTCACCGCATCTATGGAAAATTCATGGTGCATCGTCCATTCATCAGGAAATCTATCAATAACATTTTCTATCAGTTTATTTTTGAGACTGAGAAGTACAATGGTATTGCTGAGCTTTTAGAAATTCTGGGCAGTATCATTAATGGGTTTGCTCTGCCATTGAAAGAAGAACATAAAATGTTTCTTGTTCGTGCTATGATTCCTCTGCACAAGCCAAGATGCTTAGCGATGTATCACCAACAATTATCTTACTGCATTACACAGTTTGTGGAGAAAGACTGCAAGCTTGCTGATACTGTAATACAGGGATTGTTGAAGTACTGGCCTGTCACTAATAGTTCAAAGGAAGTCATGTTCCTAAATGAGCTGGAGGAGGTTTTAGAAGCAACCCAGCCATCGGAATTCCAGCGCTGTATAGTGCCCCTGTTTCAGCAACTTGCTCGGTGTTTGAACAGTTCACACTTTCAGGTAATAAGATTCTAATATCTAATACTTCATAAATGCGCAACTCATTTCGCTATTGTAACATGCTTCCCATTATTTATCTATGGAAAAATATGAACTTCTGCGAAAATGCTTCATATCAGCAAGATTGTTATTAACTTCAGTATTGCTTTAGTCATTATATCAGCGAAGAAATCTCTGCAGTTAGATATGTGATTTTTTTTGTTACTACTATTTCCTCTCTTCTTTGTTTAGTAAGTCGGCTAGTGTTGTTGCAAATCATTCTCTCAAGTCTCATCTACTTAGAATTTGTGTGTTGCTCTAGTAATGTGTTTCTTTCGGAGTTCATATCATAATATTACCATCACCTGTTAAATTGGCGGAGAAGATATGAAAAGAGAGAAGTATAAAGGTTTCTTATTTTTTCTGTAAAGAAACAGAATGTTGAAGACGATTTTAGACATGAGTGTCCCCGAGGGGCGTGGCGTGGTGACAAAGGGTTTGAGATCTGCACAGCAGGTCTCGAGTTCAAGTCAGGGCGTGCACTTATTGTAAGAGCCTGGGACAGCCGAGGTTTTACTCACTTACCTAGGCCCACAAAGTGCTTTTTCCGGAGGGTGGGGTTTCCTTGAATCTAAAAAAAAAAAAGATTTTAGACATAAGTGTTCCAACAGGAAATTTATCTGAGAAAAAAAAAGAAAACTATATAGAGGGTACAACTGGATGTAAAAATTTGGTGCTTAGCCATCCATTAAAGCAACTGATAGTTTATTTCTTGGTTGTAGGAGGTTCAAATCAGGCCTATGTCAACGTAAGAAAATTGCTGGAGACTATCAAAGTTGGTCAATGCTAAATCTTGTTAATTCTACATGTTCTTATTGTAAACATACATCAGATGATGAAGCTACAGTTTAGTATTCGTTTGTTCAAAAGCAATATAGGTTCTAGAGTTTTATTATTCTTTTTGGCTCATAATAGATTGCTAAAGTATCTCTGAGAAATTGATTGGGGCCTTTCCATTTCTTGTGTAACATGGTTTGTTTTGCAATAACAATGATTAGAATTCTGTATGTAGTGAGATTTTGTATTTTAACAGTGATAAATTACTCTGTTTCTTTGGCAATATTGAGACTCTACTACAAGTAATTGAATAAAATAAGACTAGAATGTGAATCCCATCCAGAATTATAATCTGAATTCCATTTCTGGTCATGTTTGAGTGTTTGTTTGCCCTAGGATGTTGCACATGATAATGTGTTATGTTCAGTTCTACATACTAGACATAAAATATTGAAATACAACTATGGCCATATCTGTTGAGAAAAATGCCAGCCATTACGATGAACTTGCCATTAGTATGTTCAAAGCTGTTGTGGATTGAATCACTAAATTTATTGTGGAAAGATGTTCCATATAAGTGAATGGGTTTCCTTTAATCTATGGTGTTCAGTTTTTCACTGTGACATGATAGCTTCCATTCTTCTATTTAAGTTGTTAAAATCAGTATATGCGACTGATGCTTTGCAGGTGGCAGAGAGAGCATTGTTCCTGTGGAACAATGATCCCATTGAGAACTTGATCATACAAAACCGCAAGGTTATCCTACCCATAATCTTTCCTGCTCTGGAGAAAAATGCTAGAAACCACTGGAATCAAGCTGTCCGTAGCTTGACATTAAATGTACGCAAGATCTTCGAAGATCTTGATCATGAACTGTTCAATGAATGCCTACTAAAGTTTCAGGAAGATGAAAAGAAGGAAGTTGAAATTAAAGCAAGAAGTGAAGCTGCATGGAAACGGTTAGAAGAGATTGCTGCTCAGAAAACTGCAAGTGATGACACGGTGGTTGTTCCTTGCTAAACAGTCACTTGCACCGCTTCAGGTTTGCTGTTTGCTGAAGCTTAGATGTTTGTTGGTATCAACATGGACTGAAATTTTTGTTGAGATGGATTCATTATATTGATAATGCTTCTCTTAGGTGTTTGATATGGTTTAAAATTCCTTTACCGCATAATAAACATTTTGTATATTGATCCTTCCATTCTTACCAAGTTTTACTCTTTACTTTTTTTTAGCTTAAGAAAGTCAAACGTAATCCCGTCTGGTAGAAAGTTGAAAGGCAAATGATACTAGGAAAAATAAGAAAAAGAAGAATAATTCAACCATAAAAGTCAAATCGTTTAAAGCATTCAAATTAGTGTTCTAAATGCCCATCACTCTCTCATTTGCGCAATTGATAATTTGTGTGTCAATGGAATTGTCAAGCATTCAGGGAAGCAGTGCTCTTCATGCCCCGCATTATGTCTGTCAGATCATTTTGTGCATGCATGAACTGGGGCATGAGCATTCCCCTATAAAATCTGCTCAGTATATTTTTGAGACCACTGCTCTCCCAGAGATTGATTGACACAAGGTTGTTCACTGTTTACTTAACATTTCTTTGCCGTCGAAGAGCATGTTTGGGAAAGCCCGCAAGCCGCGTGTTTTTAAAATATTATTTAGATGTATTTTTGTTTGAAAAACAACAACTATGATACTGAATAAGCTTTAAACCTCGTAACTATGATACTAAATAAGCCTTGAACCTCTCAACTACTCAATGTTATTAACCTAAAAAGGCCTGCTCAGTATAGTTTTCAAACTTACATTTTAGCTTGAAATGCTGGCCAGAAAATGCTGATAGAAATCCCATTTCCATGGATTTAACAGAAGGCCAATTCTTCTGGTGCAAGGAGTTATCATCATTATAGATAGTGAAATAAGTAGGCTGGCAATGATGGAAATACCCTGTTTCGATGAAGGTGCAATGATGCCGATTCCACCATGTGACTGTAGGAATTGTCATCATCTGTGTTAATCACAGACACAAAAGGGTAAATATCATTTCATAACTACTGGTATTTAATTCCACACGAATTTGGAACCATTCCTCGAAGCTTCCCTCCTCGCCTTTGCAATTGGCACCTGGGTTGGTTTTGATGGACCCTGCCACCATTGTTATGGGTAAATCAAGCATCTTTTTAAATTAAATTAAAAATAATTTCTAGATAAACACCACATACAACACAATTGTCACTCCTCTGTTGTCCATCATTATCCTGAAACATTAGCAGTAAAAGAACCCTCAGTCAGAGGATATAGTTTTGAACTTGAGTTCCAATTAATCCTCTTGTAAAAATATGTTTTAGTTTGATCAATACCTTAAATATTCCTAATGATCTCCACATTATCATAATAAAATTATTAAAAGAAATATATAAACACAAAATGAAAATGTACTTTGAAAAACACTTTTCCGTGCTGCTCCAACACATTACTACTTTGAGAACACAATTAGATTAAAAGTAACAGATTTGTGATAATTTAGGATACTGATAAACATATAAAAAACCACTGTAAATACTCTGTTCTAGTTTTCAAATCCTGCATCAATTATCCGGTAATTGTTCTTGGTTGACTATGAAAATTATATAATCTGGATATAAATTTTTATTTTTGGCTGAACATGAAACTTAATGTTCTATTAATCATTTGGAAAAAAAGGGGATGAATAACCAAAAAAAAAATGTAAGATCACAAAAGAAGGATAATATTGTGATCAATATAGAAACTTTGTAAATGGAACATATTTTGTGATCAATACACTAATAAAAACACCTTTAGATAATATTTAATTTATTGTTTAAGACATAAGAAATAAAAATATAAAAGACTAAAATGACATGTTTTTTATATTTATTATTTTAAAAATATAAAAAATCATCCTACAATTATTTTAAAAATAAATTTATTTTACTTCTCCTCCCCGTTTAATATCAACCATAACGCAAGTTAAAGATATCTTATCGTAATTATTATCGTAATTATTATCCTTAAAAGTTAAAACTATTGTCCGAATGGATGGAGAGAGTGGCATTGCTTTAGGATTAGAAACTGTGAGTGTCTAGAGGGTTGGTTTGGTCACTTTGGTCTCCTTCTCTCTCTGTCTCTTCTCTGGCCCAAAGTAATCGAGGAAAAAGAAAAAGAAAAAGAAAAAAGAAAAATAAAAGCTTTGCGTGCTCTGCTTCTTCTTTTTGAAGTCTCTGCTTCTTCTGTAAGTAAATATTAAACATTCCTGTTTCTTCTTCTCCTCTTTGTTTTTCTGTTTTAACTTTCCTATTTCCCATCCTCATAACTTATGGATTTCGATTCTGTCTAATATGATAAAAAAGCTACTTTTTTGTTGTTGTTTGTGATCAAGCCCAGATGAGATCGTATCACTGTCTGAATCAGCTGGTTTTTGGTCTACAAGAACTCAACGAAGGAGATACTACTGGTTTGTGTATGCATGATTTTCTATCGCTTCAGTTTCTGCATCTGCTTTCTTTAATTTTTTGAATTTCAAGTTAAAGGGTCTCTCTCGATTCCCATCTTTGGAAGTTTTTAGCTTTTCAAAAAGCCAATAAAGGACAGCCAAGTCGATGGTGATTTCTGCAATAAAAAATGCTTCTGGGTTTTGTTTGATTTCTGATAGCAATCCTGGGTTTGTTTTCTTCTGTGGTTTCCTTTGATATGGATTCTATGCATCTGGTTGCTCTTCTCTGATTCTGAAGTTGGGTTTGTGTTGTCCTTTAATGGACTGAAATCTGCTTCAGGGGACAATCTGTATGCGCCTGGGTTTAACAGCAACTTTGATCCTTGTGCGCGTAGAATATTTTTTTTTTTTAGTTATGATCAAACAAATACTTGGTAGGCTTCCCAAGAAGCCTTCCAAGTCATCCGAGAATCGTGAATTTGGGGGTCCAGCAATTGCTCCTTCAAATACTTCCTCAGCTTCTAAAAGCACCAGTGATTTCCAGAGCAACAGACTTGGAACTTTAAACAACTCATCTCCTCCTGGTCTTGATTCTGCTCCTCATTTAGGTTTTAGTCATGGAATGAAGCCTACCCAGGTTGGGAATCCAAAGCTGAATGGCAGTTCAGTGCCTCCACCGTATGAAGCATTGCCTACATTCAGGGATGTCCCGAATTCTGAGAAGCAAAACTTGTTTATTAGAAAGCTCAACTTGTGCTGTGTGGTGTTTGACTTTGCTGATCCCACTAAAAACTTGAAAGAAAAGGATATCAAGCGCCAGACGTTGCTTGAGCTCGTGGATTATGTTACTTCTGCAAACGGGAAGTTCACGGAAACTGTCATGCAAGAAGTTATAAAGGTGGTATCTGTTAATTTATTTAGGCCGCGTACTCCACAGACCCGGGAGAATAAGGTATTAGAGGCCTTTGATTTGGAAGAGGAGGAGCCCATGATGGACCCAGCATGGCCTCACTTGCAAATTGTGTATGAATTCTTTCTTAGATTTGTTGCATCACCTGAGACAGATGCAAAGTTGGCTAAGAGGTACGTTGATCACTCTTTTGTTCTCAAGTTGTTAGATCTCTTTGATTCTGAGGATCCAAGGGAGAGAGAGTATCTGAAGACAATTCTACATCGTATCTATGGAAAATTTATGGTGCATCGCCCATTCATCAGGAAGGCTATCAATAATATCTTCTTCCGTTTTATTTTTGAAACGGAGAAGCATAATGGGATTGCTGAGCTTTTAGAGGTTTTGGGTAGCATAATCAATGGGTTTGCTTTGCCGCTAAAAGAAGAACACAAATTGTTCCTTGTTCGGGCACTGATCCCCCTTCACAAGCCAAAGTGTTTACCTATGTACCATCAGCAATTATCATACTGCATCACACAGTTTGTGGAGAAAGACTGCAAGCTTGCTGACACTGTTATAAGAGGTTTATCAAAGTACTGGCCAATTACTAATAGTTCCAAGGAGGTCATGTTCCTAAGTGAGTTGGAGGAAGTCTTAGAAGCAACTCAACCAGCAGAATTCCAAAGATGTATGGTACCCCTGTTTCGTCAAATAGCTCGTTGCTTGAGCAGTTCACACTTCCAGGTAATATACTATAAATATCTTCTCTCTCTCTCTCTCTCTCTCTATGCTAGATAAAGGATCATTAAAGTTACCTCTCTAATGCCAGATAAAGGATCATTAAAGTTACCTCTCTATGAAGAACAATCAAAGTTATCTCGTTCTCATCTTTGATTTGACAAGAATTTAATGTTTTATTCAAGCCATGATGAAGCACGGCTGAGTTGTTGAGAATTTCTAGGGTATCTGGCTATTGCATCAGTTAGCTTCTGGTCTGTTTTGACTGCTGTTGTCCAGTCTTCAAATATCAAAGTGTTCTTCATCTTGCTTTTCTATGCAGCGTAATTTTGTTATGCTAAAATTGTGCAATTTTCAGAATTTTGAGCCAGATTTATTTCTTTTGCGTTGGTGGTAGGCTTAAGAATTTTGCACTTCGCCTCAGTCTTTTTTTTTTTGTAACTATTTCCATTTTATCTTCAATTAATTATTTAATTTTTTAAGGTTTTAAAAGAGGTGACTTGGCAACTGATTCATGTTAGCCACTGATGTAGTGACCAGATTCTGTACAATTTGATGTCTTTGGTGCGATGTGTGTTCCCGGGCAAATGCTTATGCTATTAGTTGATAGGTTGACTTTTTAACTGGTTGATGATTTGGGCTTCTCAGTGCATGTTTTTTTAAAGAATTTCATGTTATTGATATACAAAAGTTGAACTAGTGGTATGCAAATAGAAAATTATGAAAACACATGGACTATAATTGTATTTACCTGTCAAATATAGAAACTGGAATTATAAAGGCATGCTTTCCACAATTGGAGCTGCTGTAACCGGGAATTTGTCATTGGGTTACAGTTCTAGTTGAATTTAATAACCATTTTGCGAATTGGGTGAAAAACTGGCTGACATGAATCGGTAAATGGCCCGGGCTTGACTAGTATGATGGTAAGTATTACTTATTCCCTTTGTGCAACAAAGATTGTCTTGTTTGACTTTTCATACAGTTTTAGAAATCTCAATAAATACAACACAATGCCAATTTTTTTTTTTGCACATTTTCAAAAACTTCTCCTTCCTTTGTTTAATGAGAAGTAGTTGTATTTAGAAGTTTAACTGGTATAATAGGAAAATAAAGGAATTAATTCCTTGACTAGACA